ATCTCCGAGTATAATTTATTATATTCAATCAACCCTTGATGGAATACAGATTTGTAGCATATGTTATACTTTTTGGTCATTAAATGGAAGTCATCTTTATTTCTGGTATTATGTAAATGATGGTCGACATTTGATGATGTTAAATTAGTTAGACTTGATGGAAATATATTATTTTTTACTTTATAAATGAATATCATTACAAGATATTTGATAAAATTTTTTACATTGAGCCATTTTAATTTGCTAAGCATTTGCCTAATTGGAGTATATTTATCTTTATTTAGTATTATTCTCATGCACTTATTTTGTAAAATTTGCAGTCTTTCAAAAATGGAATTATTTGCTAAATATAGAATAGTCGAACAGTACAAGAAATTTGGAAGAATGATGGTATTATAGATAATTTTTCTGCTATATGAACTCAGACATCCAGAAACTCTCGATAAATATCCCACTTTACTACTAATCTTATTTATAACTTTTTCATAATGAATATCAAAAATTAATCGAGAGTCAACAAAAACTCCCAGGTATTTAAAATTTTCTACGAATTCAATATCTTCACCATCAATATTCAGTTGAACATTTGTACATTGTTTTTTTCCGATTAACAAGGCTTTCGTTTTACTTGCATTTAATTTTAGTCTGTTAGATGCTAACCATTTTGAGACAAGCTTCAAGTCTTCATTTATATAAGAGATACCAGACTGAATATTTTTAGTACTTATATAAATCATAGTGTCATCGGCGAAAATTTGAATTTTGCATTTTTTGACTATGGCAGGTAAATCATTTATGTATAAAATAAAAGAAGTGGTCCCAGATTCTGCCCTGTGGAACACCCAACGTATTTTCAATTTTTGATGAAATAGTGTCATTAACTTTGTAACTTGCATCCTTTTAGACAAATAATTTCTAAACCAATCTAAAACACTTCTGTTATACCATATGCCTTCAATTTACCTAACAAAATATCTCTATCAATCGTTTCAAATGCCCTCTTCAAATCCAAAAATACTGCTATGACAACTTCTTCTGAGTCTATGGCTCTTCTCCAATTCTCAGTTACCAACTGGAAAGCTGTTTCTGTGGAAATATTTTTTTCGGAAGCCTGCTTGCGCCTCCACTAAAATTTTGTTTTCTCTCTATAAACTGCATTAATTGGTCATGCACTATGGACTCTAATAATTTTTCAATGTCTGGTAACACATTTACTGGTCTCATATCGCTGCATCTTTTAGAATTTTTTATTTTGGGAACTTGTGTTATTGTAGAGCATTTCAAATTTTCAGGGAAAGAACTGTTTCTCAGTGAACAATTGATCCAATTTAATACAGGATATCCCAAAATTTCGAAACAGTTTTTCGGCACGTTTTAGTAGTCATTTCGGTGATTTTAAACTGTATACTTTTTTTCTTAGATAATTCAATGATACGCTGTGAAATTTTGAAAGTATATGCAACATTTCCCCCTGGAAACTGATTTTCATATAGTCAGGTGCAGCATTGGCAGTACCTACAATATCAACAATACTTTCCACAAAATATTCATTTAGTTTGTTTGCAATCACCAAAGAATTTGTTTCGGTACCGTTTTCGAATTGAACTTGATTTACACAATCATGCGGCTTCGAATTGATCAGTCTTTTTAAAGTCTTTCACATCTTTACACTGTCGCACTTGTTATTATCGATTTGTTTATCGTAGAATTTTCTTTTTTCTTCTCTAATTACATATACACATTTATTCCTAAGAGTTTTATATACCTCCCAATCATCATTTGATTTTGTGAATATACATTTATTGTATTGTTTGTCTCTCAAATTTTGAGCTGCCTTAATATTCTTGTTATACCAGGGTGTATTTTTTGTCGAGCAAATCACTTTTTTATCAGTTGCAAGATCTAAACAAGTTTTTATATTTCCTATTATGTTGTCATATATTTTTTCCATATTCTCACCAAAATTCCAATAGCAGCCAGCAAGTTCTCGTTCAAGTTTTTCGTACTTAATAGTATTTACGATTTTCTTAATTTTTGTATCAGAAAAATGCCTACAAAGGCAGCATTGTCCAACTGTGATCGCTAACTTTAGGTGTATGTACAGCTTTAATCTGTGCACATTCGAAATTTACAATAACAAGATCTAACAAAGTCTCTGATAATGATGTTATTCTGGTACTCTCTTCAATTTTTTGCTTGAACCCATAGTTGTTTTGGTTTCTTTTTTTCTTTTTGTTTTCATGCTTTTACCATAATAATTTAAATTAAAATCACCTAAAAGTATTATATTGTTTCTAAAATTCCACATTTCTTCGCATTTTTCTTCAAAAAAAGTTAAAAATGTATCTGCATCACTGTTTGGTGAACGGTAAAAAGTACAAAGATCATAACGTTTCCCAAATAATTTGAACTGTATATGTGCATACCAGTATGCATAGTCTAAAGTGGTACAATCGAATATTGTAGACAGCAAAAATGCAGTTTGTACTGATGTAGCATCTGTAACTTATCCTGTAGTTGCCGATGAAGAATATTCATGCTTTACTGTCCGCCAGTTGAAACCACATATGCAGAATTGACGATTTACTAACGTTTCAGCCACCTTCGTGGGCTTTTCAGATGACAGTGACAATACGGACCCTATGCATGAGGATTTCAGTACCTGTGAGAGATGATACAGTTTAGGTTAAATTATTAAAAAGAGCATATTTACATGCCGTTGAGAAACTTGTAAGAAACTCATGGCTTACTGAGATATTTGGAAAAACTAAAATTTGGGCAAATTATTTTTTTTCTGAATTTATTTTAAGAAATATCAAAAAACTAATAAAACTTTTCCATTGGCCCTTTTTAGTCACTACATGATGGTATTTTTAAATTTTGTGTCCGACGGTTCGTTTTTGAGAAACTATCATCGACTTTATTTTTTATATGGTCGGAAAACAGTACACCCTGTATCTAATATATTTTTTATACGAATTCAACGATGTATTACAAGTTACATTTATTTTCTTGGTTATAAAGAAAAATTAGTTTTTTCTGGTTTTTTGTTTTTTATTTTTTTTAATTAGGCGTTGCCAAACAAGTGTTTGACGTAAATACCTTTAACCGAGTATTGTTATCATTGTGTATTGTTAACATTGCTTTATTATCGTCAAAGATGCCAGGCGGCCATTCCAGCAATGATGAAAAATTGGACATGCTACATGTGCTACAGAAATACTGCAGAAATGTATGTTTCTGAATTTCTCGAAAGAAGGCAGCCACAAAGTCCATTTTCAAACAGTACCTTCAACTGTTGCAACATGATCTAGAAGACTGCCTGGATAATTTACCTTTGGCACAGGTTAATAGCTGCTGGTTTCAACAGAATGGTGCTGCACGTAACTCTAGGCAAGTTTGAGAGTATCTTTCTCATCATATCCCGGAAGGTGGATTGGAAGCTCCAGTGAAGTGACCTGGGGCTTGATTCTAAGTGAGTTGCGACCGTTGAAATTGATTTCGATGGCGCCTTGTGACGATATACTTGATTAGCTATGATAATTTTGACACTGCCATGATAAAATTTGAATATAGAAGAGCAATATAATCAGATGTCAAAATTACCATAGCGAATCAAGTATATC